TCTCTCTCTCTCTCTCTCTCTCTCTGTCTCTCTCTCTATCTCTCTGTCTGCGTCTGGCTGCTCACCTGCTCCTTGCAGATTGTCTCCACAAGGCTGCTCATGAGCTCGCGAGCCTCAGTCTCTGGATCCTCGCCACTTAATCGGACGGACGCGGCCGCTGCTTTGGGATGCCCCCCGGCGCCAAACCTGCATTAACGTCGACACCGTCGTCGCCGTTACCCTTCGTTCTCCAAGGTTGTTGCCCAGCAACATAGTGAACGCATCCTCAAGCTAATCGCGCGGTGGAATTCATCAGTTGCTGCTCGACTTGAGCTCGTCAGTCCGATTTTTTTCACAACAGAAAAAAATGGGGGAGGGGGGTTCAACTCTTCGTCGATGTAATCCGCGGGGCCGCTTCTGTTTCTGGGGGCCGCTCTGCTTCTAGACTGCAAACAAGAGTGTGCAAAACGCTGCTCCTGTGGTCGCACTTGCCATCGGCAGCAGGGGAAAAAAAAACGCCTACAGTTAGTCCTCTCTTCCTACAGACACCATGGCACACATGCTAGGACCGAGCCACTTTGCCTTTTGAAGAGGGCGTTGAAGTCGACGCTCTCGACCGACGAAATCACTCGACCGATAAGAGCGAGGCGGTCTTTCGCTCGGCCGGGCTTGCTGGGGTGCATCTCCCCGACCAGGAGGACTCCGACCTCGGACATGTCGAGCAAGTTTTGGGCCACCCTGGCTCGTTTCAGAGAAGGGGATGGGAACGAAGGAAATAGAAAAAAAAAAAAAAATGGAAAAACGAGGAGACCCGGAGTTTAGAGAAATATAAACATATGACAATGTTGTTGGCCTGAACAAGTTCGGCCTCAACAAGGCGAAAAAGAATGGTAGCAGCCAACGACAACTGGGTACTCCTGAATATTCTACGAACAAAGACGTGTCAAATGCACTAGCCAACACCCCCCCACAAAAACATCATCATGGCAGTCTGATGGAAAAACCAAAGCACACACGTCAATCTAAATGAAATCGGACCTGACCTGGCCATGCCGGCAACCCTTTCCTCGTTAACGAGGAGCACGCTGCCGACCGAGACGCCTTTGTGTTGCCGCTTCTCCAGGGACCCGAAGGCCTCCACGAGGGAAGACTGTTGCCCCTCCGACAGCGACGTATGCGTGTACTCGGACACCACCGTTTGCTGGCAGCCTGCAACGCGCGCGCGGAGGAGGGAGTTTGTGCGTTGCCGTGGAAAGCGCTACCAACAAAAAGAGCGGACGACATCCATCATCCATCCATCATTCTTACGAGTACTGCTGTACCTCGCTTGACGAAAGGTTGAGGCTCTTCGCTCTTCGCGTTAAGCACCGTGACAAGAGATACCAAAAGACAACAAACCACCTGACACACCGAAGAGAATATATACCGCATCCAACATAACCGATTGGTCACTAATGCACCTCACTAACCTTGCGTCATGAGCCACGCCAGGGCGGCTGCGTCCCGCGCCGTCGCAGAATCGTACGTCAACGACCCTGCTCACAAAAAAAAAGGCAGGAAAAAAAAAAAACAGAAGGAAAACGAACGTACAAAGGGGCACGTCATGATCGCTGGCCCATTGGACCGCCCATGTTTTTGAGCCTTTCGAATATTTTCGGGTGCAAGTTTACAACGGACTTGACAGCGGTATATAGGGCTACGCGGCTGCTGAAACATTGTTATGTTACAGTGTTGGGCGGGTTTTGTTTTGGGTACTTTTTAATTTCCAGCCTTTCGAATATTTTCGGGTGCAAGTTTACAACGGACTTGACAGCGGTATACAGGGCTACGCGGCTGCTGAAACAACATATTGTTATGTTACAGTGTTGGGCGGGTTTTGTTTCGGGTAGTTTTTAATCTCCGATTTTGGGGACGCAACAAAGAGCTCGGTAACGCCAAAGATCGCGTCATATCCGCAAGATGGCCCACATCGTCCTAGGTGGAGGCGAGGTGGATTAACATCGCGCCGCTTCGTGACGTGTGTGAGACAGAAAGAAAAACCATGCCACTACATTGTGAACAGGTACTTCTTCTAAACAACAACACCCCTCGTCGGGCGAACGTACAACCTGTCGGCCGAGCGAGCGGCATGTTGCATTTCACACGGTTGTGGCAAGAAGAAAAAAAGAAGGAAATACACTGTAGTTGAATGCTGCTCGGGAATCGTAGAAACAAAGGTATCACACTGTATTATGTGCATATTATATCATATTGAGTTCCCGCTAATTACGCTATGGGTTCGTTGCTATTTCTCCCGAACTATTTTCTGTGGATGGAGATGGACTCTCATCTGTGGATAGAGATTGACTACCATCTGTGGATAGAGATGGATTCTCATTTGTCAATAGAGATGGACTCCTATCTGTGTGTGTGTCTTCATCCCATCTGTTCTGTGCCGGTTTCTGGCCTTTCGGCGTATATACCTGACGGTAGATATCAGCCGGGGTCACACAAGCGGAAGGTAACACAGAAGCTTCTTTCCTTCTTTTTTTTCGTTTCGTTGCTCCACCTTTACCCCTGCCGTGCTTGCCTTACTTGTCATCGCGAGAAGGGTTCAGCCATCCCTTGCCCTCGTCAACCCTGAAGCCCAAGTTTGTTTTCTCACGACCAAAGATCGCTTTCAACCACAAGTTGCTGGAAACAAAACCCGGGAAAAAAAATTGTGGATAGAGATTAACTCTTATCTGTGGAGAGAGGTGGGCTCTTGTATCTGTGCATAGAGATGGACTCTTATCTGTGGAGACAGATCAACGCGTTGTTTCTACAACAAACAAAAAAGAAGATAATAAGCGTATCCGACAACCTACGGCGAAAAAAGTCACCTGTGTCCCCATGAATGCCCAGAGCAAGGAGCGTACCCTCCGCCTCCGTAAGCTCAACTCCAACCCCGGCTCCTTGCTCGAGACCCGACCGGATCATCTCCGTCACCATGGTTGTTGCCGCACCCACGCTGGAAAGAGAGAGCGAGCGACATATAGAGAGACAGGCAGAGAGAGAGAGACAGAGAGACAGACAGAGAGAGACAGACAGAGAGACAGACAGAGAGACAGACAGAGACAGAGGCAGAGACAGGGACAGAGAAAGAAGGAGAGAGAGAGAGACAGACCGGGACAGAGATAGAGATAGAGACAGACATAGAGACAGACAGACAGACAGACAGACAGACATATATATAGCGAGAGTGAGGGGGGGGGGGGG